TGTTTATCCGTCCACGAATCACTCCCAGGCGACGCAGTCCCGCTGTCAGTGGTTTTGTCACCAAAACTAACTAGTGGACAACATTAAATAGCCTTGTGTCGGTGTACTTACAAAGTGCAAATTAATGTTATTGACAAAGCATTTAATGGAATTGATCAATTCCCTTAAGAAGGGAAATTACTGACTCATTTTCTACTAGACCGCTTGTTTAACTTATAGTACAATAATAGGACAATCACAGTATTGTTGTCATTCGCACTAAATAATTATGACTGAGCTTCGCCTGCACTGTGATTCAATTTAAATGTATAATATGCTTTGTCTTTGTTTTCAATGGTCAACATTTAAGTACTGCGCTTGATGCTTGATGCAATGGCTTTTTTTTAGACTAAACCTGGAAATATCAGTTGGTTTTGTGGAGTGAAATATCTCATGACATGGTATGGCTCTGTGGTGTCATTTGATTTTGCGTGCAAGCAATTTATTACTTTTGATAAATTGGACCTACTTGGTGGGATGAGGTATGTTGCCATCTGCAGATGTGTTGCTGAAGTTTGACTGTCGAGCTCTGGTCCAGCCAGTTTTGGTTCTGTTGTGAGGAGGGGACTCTCGGGTAGGTCGGGTTCATATCCACTTCCGTGAAGCAATACGTCGAATATCCTGCGCTCAGGATTTTGGGCAGCATGGTAGGCAGAGCTTACCTGGAAAGTGCAACACAATTTAAACATGATGAACCAACCAGATAAGTTAAAGTTAAGTTGGCTAACCCAACTAAGCTTAAATCTCATTTCCTGATGTCCTCTTCCTGCATTTCAGGGTACTTAAATAAGGCTGTAATATCACAGTCTGTTTTGAAAAAAATTTCCAGTTTATCTTTAGTGGCAATTAGTAATCACGCAATATCGTCCCTAGATGAGGATTAATTCCTTATTAATTTTTGCACAACCTTCTTTGGATTTGCTTCGAAGTTGAAAGCATTTATCTTCGAAAGGTTTAGTGTAATTTGTTACGCGTTTAACTTGAAAAAAACTGTTATAGAGACCAACATAAAAATAATTAATATTTAAGTTTTTAAAGCCAAAAGAGAAATAAACCAATAAATAAAACTTTAATGTTTTTCTATAAATACGTCACGATGTATGTGGCTCATAGAGAAGTAATATTCGTTGTATAGTGCTTCGTCATAACCGGAACCGATGTGAAGTGTAGCAGGCAGGGCTCCAGTATGGTTGAGCATTGCTTATGTCTGCCAAAATCAAAAAAGTCTGACAAAATCGTGTAGATTCTTACATTTCGATGCGCTTCAATTCTTTCTCCTGATTTTACGCGATACTGGTCAGGGTCGTCATTCCTGACAAACCGCCCATCATTTGATTCTTTTTTCGCGAGATTTCTAAAAAAATCAACAATCCTGCAGACCATTTAAGAAAACTTCTTAATTAACCCCTATAAAAGAGACCTGTCAAAAACAGCATTGGTGTCGCACTTGTAAAAGTTAAGTTATAAATGTGTTTACAACAAATGTCAGTAATTTTTCCAAAGACCAGATTTGATAATTGCCCTTAGAGTTTGCCCTTGATATTCCATTTTTTAAGATGGAAAAAGGTTGCCTAATTTTTTAGCCACCTAAAATTGGTTCTCACAACTTATTTTCATATCATTGCGAATGAAATATTGTATTAAATGATCTATCTTAAAGTAGGTACGAGAGTGACTCCGCGATCTTTTTGCAACAGTTTGAAAAGTTCTGCTGGTTAGACACAATTAGTAGGTTACTTTATTTTTTACAGTCTCAGAGTTTATCACTTTTAAGTATTAAATTACCAAGCGTAAATTCTACCAAAAAACTAGCAAATTTCATTGCAGACTTTTCCACTTTCCTTCAAGATTATTTAATACGCCGCATTTGTTCACTTTTATCAAAGTTGATAGCCCTGCTTCATGTAAGCTTTGTTCTATTTAGTTATCAAGCATGGTGCAGCATTGATGGCTTTACATCGGTAGAGGTGAATGATTATTGGCACTGATTGTCAAGGTGGGTCAATCGCTCTCGCCATCTAATCTACAGGGTAATCCTGCCGTAGTAGACGAAGCAGAACTGTATCATCTGGCACCAAATTCGACATTACATTATCCTGAAATGACTCCTGAGCATTTCGCGATTATGGGACAAGCAATTTTAGTTATATGCAATTACACCTCACAAAGTTCTCCGACCTTTGCGAATTAGTCTGTAGATTTTGTGATCTTTGTTTAGATGTTTTGTGAATGCTAGAACCTCTGTGGTTAAATTTAAAATTAGGATGGCGAAAAACATACCTCTAAATTGTTTCGATATTTTGATTACACTTACTAACTGGTAATCGATTTCTTATTTACAAGGTAAATATAATCTAGGTATTATTCATGTTTTCTTCAAGTAAGGCATAAAAAGGCACAATGTGACTACAAATGCCTTAGTCCTTAACTCCAATGCGAAATTAAGTGTTTATTTTTCTATTTCTAAGCCATTTGAATATCACAAACAGTTAATTTTTTTGGAATAGTAAAATCAAGTACGCACAAGACATGTTTCCATAAATGTCCGTTAATTGAAACGAAGCTGTCGGCAGCGGTAACCCTGGAACATGCACATGTATTGTCAATTGGAACAAACAAACACTCTATCTTGCTCTTTAGTCAAGGTTTCTCCGACATTTCGGTCACGCATACGGACACAATCGTTCTTGTTTGTGAGGTGGGTCGAAAGGGGGAAAGTAAATTACCGGTGTTTGCGTGTGCGTGTCCATTACAAGAATGCGAAATTTGATCCATCTCAACGCACCACCCCTTTCGAACTAAGCCAGTGGTTTACTTTATAGTCAATATTTGTGGCTTCCATTTAACAATTCTAATTTAAGCACAAAACTAGGGAAACATCGAAATGTATCAATTTTAAATGGCGGCGGTGTCGAGTCCCCGCAAAAAAATAATTTCATGGAGGGCTTGAGTGTAGCCTGAACCATTGAAATAGAGGAAGAGGTGACATAGTTTTAAAAATTTACCTTTTACTTAATTAGAAATTATCCCTGAATCTAGGGGAGCTTTACTAACCTCTTGACTAAAGCAGTGAAGACTTAAATCAGCATTGTTACCCATAAGTCGAACACTAAGATGGACAATTCAACTGCGACAAAGGTTGCACACTGCACACTCGTAGCACTGTGGTTTTTGTAAAAGGCAGAAATGTCTACCTGTCCAGCTCTTTCTACGTAGCTAAATCAACCTTTTATTTTATGTGTTGAAATCCTAACTTCAAGTGTATTTCAGTAGTTAATTAAAGTAAAAACATATTAACCTGACAACTAGTTTGCTATTTTCTTCAATGTTGACCTCAAGTAAGCTGTTTATTCTCATATTGAGTCTTAATATTAGCAGTTTAAACCGGTGTCATCACCGCTACTGCAACCATAAAGAATGACTGCACAATTGCATTCTTGATGTCAATCACTACGACCACTATTATGTGATTGTGCACAAAATGTTTGAATTCTGTATTTACCACTGTCAACATATTTGTTTCCTTAGTTTACGCACGCAAATAATTTTTGCGCAAATTTTTCAATACATCATGTTCTTTTTCAATGGATTTCTGCCTTCATGGTTCTTCTCTGAAAAGCCAATTTTCTTTTACAGAAAGTGCGTCATTAAATATTTTCTTACCATATATAGCCCCAAATGTGGTCGAAACAATAAGTGACCCACCTAGTTTGCTGTTTTGCACGAAAAATATGTTAGCTAAATAACAGTCAGCTCGGTATCACACCATGGTTGATTAAGTTCCTTCCTGTGGCAAATAAAGTATTTATGTTTACTATGGATGAGTGTGAGGTTTTGGCATCTGGTTACTGAACAGTAGGCACAACACATCCCATACCTAAAAAGTCGGCCGAAACCCAATACCAATAATTAATCTTAGCCATGTCTCATAGAACGTATTTTCTCCAAGCTATTCACAAACGAATTTATTATGCACTGTGGTCTATTTTCTTAGAGAAGGGTATCGCTTGGTAAAGGCTTAATAAAATTGCGTATCCAAAAATATTTTAAATTTTTATCAGAAATTTAGGAATCAATTGGTACACCAATAATTAACACATAAGCTCGCCTTGTCTTGCTATTCTTTAACTATGATATTATCCTAATTTGAAGTTTCTAAAGTTGTTTCTACTTTTTAAAGTCCCCCATAATATTGAAATTGGGAAAAGTTTCTGCTCAGGCCTATTCTCATTCTCCAACACAAACCGGATATGCATGGGTTCTACTTATTCGATTTCATGCTACAGGTTTACACAATAACCTATTTTAAAGTAATATGATCGGCGTTTTCATTTAGTGTTTCTAGTCATTGGAGTTAACAATAAACTAAGTTTTAGTAACACCACTAATAGTGTTAGCAAGTCCTGTCGATATACTGATTGCAATTCAGATAAACCATATGCAGAAATGTTAAACTATTAAACTAGAGCACTTAAATTTTCCTTGCACCCACATTCCCCACCTCCTCAACTTCCGCGTTTAGTTATATTTGGTTTTAATACCATTTAAAAAGACAAGCTTTTAAAGAGATTTTGGGAATTGCATTTGTGGTAAACTATTTTTAATTCCGACTATCAAATTGCACTTTACTTTTAGAAAATTTTAAGGTTCTACAAATATAAAACTTAAAATGCTGTCGGTATTTCTCAAATTTGAAGGCATATTTCGGCCACGATCATTTGATAATTATGAAAACTGAGCATCAGAACAAATACACAAGCTATTTTGTCCAAAGGTTTTATTTTAGTCGTAAATAAACTGCCTTAAACCATGAAATATGGGATCTTTTTTACCTCGACGTTAACTAGGCACATTGTTCTCGGGTTAGCAAACCATTTTGTCCCTTTACATCCTTTAAGTGTGGTAAAGAAGCACTTACTTTGAGAATTCACTGCTTTGTGAGGGTTTTGAGCAAAGCTTGCATATCTGATCATCAACAAATTCTGCACGTTGTTCTATTTTTTTCATGGTTTTCCTAACTCTTTCAAGCGGAAGTCTCATTTTGAGCAGGATATTTTGTGCTTCCGCTTGTTTGGCTGTGGATATTTTGGAATTATGTCGTACTGCGTCCTTAAAAAACTCAAGTTCCAGTTTCATGCTTTCGAGCACATCGGATGTTTCTACATCGCCACGCAGCATTTCGCAATCCTGAAAAGATCACAAAAAAAAACAGATAAACACCTAATCTATGATGCAATTAAAACTTGCGAAAATAAGAACTTGAGTTTTTGACATTCTGGTATCTTGAATAGAGTATTTCTGTTTGTGCGAGGGAACCAGTTTCATTATTTAAAAGCATTTAGGTCCCGTAGGCACTGTCAGTTTAATGTTCGGTAGATACAGCAACTACTCATCCACCCACAGCTTATTCGCTTAATTCTGTCATGCTTTACAAAAGGCTTATTAGCCGTTTCAAACCGATTATTTTTAAAATGAAATTATTAATGTAATTTTCAAAAACTAAGTAGTAAAATTTGCAGTTGCAAGCAACACCGGTCCTACAAATGGCATTTAGAGAGATTAACCTTTTGGGTGGTCCACATTAAAGATAGACCGAACACACTCCGCCATTCCGTAAACATAATTTGTTACAGTCTCCCATTTGATGTCATTCAACAAAGTGATTTATAGCCTTTAAATGTGTCTTTAGAAATTTGTACTTTATTCAGTCGCTTAAATGGTCTGCTGTGGGGGGCTAAAGTAAATGTACCCCTTAAACCCAATTTTCCATTTCCATCAATTTTGAGGATTTGCAAGAAAGTAAAGGCAGAGGTACACACTTCCACGTAAATATTACAGTTTTCCAGAATTAAAGCGCCTTGTTTCCACCTTGTACACAGGTCTTCCCATTTGCCGCTAATATATCTTCTGTTCCCTTACTCTACGAAACAGTACACGCGCAAATAAACGCGTTATGCAAATCCAAACGCAGGAGACTGGAGGTTTATAGTGATGTCAGAGTAGTCTCACTTCTTCAGCGTGTGCCCTCCAGGCACCCCACAAGGGCACTTTTAATCTTAAAGTTTATGCCTCTCCTTTTCTGGCAGGATGCAAAATAATTGCAAGACACTTGACACATTGGTGAGCAGACCAGGACCTGATCTGCTGCACAATGGATCACCGATTCGGCCGCACCTCCCTATTGTAAAAATAAACGCATTTCATTTCAACTTTTTGACACTTCTGCCAGCCATCCTTGCCCTTACCTAAACCTTTTATTCAGTATGCATAATATAAGTGGGGTAAACGTTTGCCTCTTAAATCTATCATCTTTCTTTTACATCCATGATTCTTTGTTGATAGATCTTGACATATATTTCTGCTTCTGATGCGTAGATCGAACCATCGTTTACTGCGTTACTGTATCCCCTTTAATAGACAAGTTTTATACACAGAACTTCTAATTTTATTACGTTTAATGAGATGCCTTGACCGAATATTTTCTGATAGAGGAAAAGTGGCAGAGATGTGACACTATTAACAACTGTGCATGTTTGATGGGACGATTTAGAGAATAAGCAACCGCTTACTGTGCTAAAGTGCGCCATCCAATGAAACGTATATTTTAGTACCTTCATTTAACCTAGGCCAGCACATGTTTGCTGACGGGTACGTGACCTAGCGTTTGGGAAATATCATGTTCTTGAATACCTCGGACCGTTAAAAGTAGTGTCTTGTAATACTCCAAAACATAATTTCTGCGCTTATTTGATGTTAGCAATTCCTTTCGATAGTAAGCCATACCTATTTAAACAACAGATGGTTTTTATTGTATCTTTACTGAGATTCATAGATAATTATCACGAAAATCTTTACATACCTGTAGTTTACCAGCCTTGGGTTTTAAAATAATTTTGCGTGGCTTTTTTAAACTGGGACTCAAATTTTTTCTAGCTTATTTCACAAAAAATGAAATACCAATCAGCATACGCAAATAAATCAGTCTGAGATTTTTTAAAATTTTTGATTTATAGTTGGTGACTCTATTCAGTTGAATCTAATTTCTTGCTTCAGTAATTTCATTTCAAATCAAAGACGTAGTACAAAAGTCCCTCATTACACCTGACATACTGCGTCTGTTTTGGTCAAGTGGACATCAAAATTATTAAGATTAATTATGCGTCTGGGGTTCGGTCTAGTTGCCATTCTCCTCAGAATTACGGATAGACGAAATTTGGTTACAGAAGAGTGAGTCACACGAGTTGACACACGTGGGTGTTCGAGTTTGTCAAATTGTGTCTCCCTAACGGGAACAAATGCCACAGTACGAAACGTTGCACCTGTGCTAGCGTGAAGGGTGCTTTCCAACTTGATCCCACATTGACACCACCCCTTCCAATAACATGCCCCCAATGAGACAATTTGCCAGTTACCCCTTTCCCTTACTATAACTGCACTAAATTGATTGTCTTTGATAGCTGTCATTATCATCATACATTGCAAAAAAACATGCGTTTTTGCGGACCTCTTGGTGCAATTGATTTACAAACTTAAGAAAGACCAAACTGAATGTATATCCCCTGAATATTAAAGTATGTTTTATTTTCATAAACTGCTAGCTTCGAAATGTTAAGCTAAATGTTAGCGATGATGCCGAATATAATATTTTACAGTTTTTTGCCTAATGTTATTTTTTGTTTAGATCTCGATAGAAAAGTATGCCTTCTTCTGTAAAAATGATAGTTTTCATTTTTGCTCTGAAATAAAAAATGCCACCTTCTGGCATACTGGCGCGAATGTTTAAGTAGAAACTACTACTATTTGTAATGACCCAGGATTGGAATGTGTCGGTTCACATAATAACCTGCTAATGACCAGCCTTTTGGCAAACAGATAGTACTTAGTTTGTAACCACTCAGATGAAGAAAACCTACAAAAAATAAGCTATTTCACATGACCTAGGACGTCATGCCACAGAGCTATTATGATCTAATGGTAGTGCCCAACTTCGATGGAAACTATCATAAAATGCTCACCTCAGACAAAACTAAAATATTCTCCATGGTAATGGCACCGACTGAAGAATTCATAAAATTCATCTGTGATGCTGGATCGTAAAG